GCCCGTCGCCGTGTCGTCCAGTCGAGCCGACCAAATCAGGCACGGCATGTACCCACAGTTCAACTTGGCCAACTGTATGGTGGCTAGGATTACTATTGGGAGCCCCTGACAAGAACGATTCTTCTCCGATTGATGAAATAATACGTTGATATAATTGTATAAAACCGAAGCATCAGTAGCCTTCCGTGGACGTGTCAAAGTCTTGGTCTCCTTGCCCTCAGGCTGGACGATATTTTGGGACCTCGCCCTTCGTCAAAACGCGTGACGTGCGTCTTGGTCGGCATCGCAAAATGACGTTGCGCTGCCATTTATTCATTTAAATATTCTTGAAGTATAAACAAATAAATGGCTGCTATGCAGGTTCGGCTACAGCAATGGTACCACGTACGGTATCTCGTCTGGTGCTAATACCACATGTTTGCAGCAAATGCAGCTCGTTGAGTAACCTGAATCGTAAACTTGTCAAGCCTTTGGCTCGTTGGCAAAAGAGGTTTGGATCGAGAAAGAAATTTAGGGATTCAGGGTGCTTGAAATTGCTTCATGGAAACGCGCTCGAAAGTGCTCGGCACATCAGTGTATTTGTGGATGGGCAGTGCTGGCACACTCTGGCGTGGGTGGCACCCTGGAGCCTTTAGCGCCAACGCTTTTTTCAAATAGCCCATCTGTCGTCTCGCATCGATCTGATAACGATAGAAGACGAAGAAGAACGAGCCACTCTTGTGGTGAACAGTTCCCACGTCAAACGAGACGTATAAAGCCAAGGGATTTTCTTTCAATTCCCTCGATAAAAGCTAACGTCGGGGGTTGGGAAAGGTGCAAAGCGTGACGCCGGACCCAGTGCTACATATGTATCATCTACGCGGTCAGGAGGTTTTGAGCTTGATACGTCAATAGTTATCAGCACTTGTGAACTATTCCTACGCCGCCAAATTTGGCAGGGACCATGTCTACCACCACGATCCACGACCAGGTCGTATGTAGTACGAACTTGGATAGAAACAAAGTCCTCGTCCGCGGAAAATAAAGCACAACTTTTGTGTGTGGTCGTGATAGAAAGTGCAGTTTTACCATTTGACGCCATGTTACCTTCATCGGCCATCAAGGTTTGATCACCTGTGGACAGTGGTTAGCCACCCACAACCACAACCAACGACTGACTCGAAAAACAGTTGCATCACCGAGAGAAAAATGCTCGCTGCTGGAGCTCGCACCAAGATAACCTAGCAGAGTATTTTGAGGAAGGTATATTTTCCATTGACGAGAACTAGCACAGCGTTCCCACCATGTCGAAACGCCATGTTGACGACGCTGCACACAGAGGGATGGAACCCATGGACTGTTGCACAGAACCCACAAAGATCATGGCACCATCATCTATGGAATCGTTGATGTGGATGGGTACACAGCAGCATGTGAGACTCAAAAACACATGTTTGACATTCAGTAGGACACGACGGTCGTTCACTCGAGCTTTTTTCTGCAGTCGATCGATGCAAACGCCCACCAAGCGAAAGCGCCGCACGCCGTCAATGGCCCAGCGCGAGCAAAACCGCGAGCGGGCGCGCGCCTACTATGAGAACCACCGCCCGAAGGTGCTCGCCAAGCTTAAACTCAAGTACGAGCAGAAGCGTATTGAGATCCAGGCCAAGCGACGGGAACGCTACTTTGAGCGCAAAATGAGCCTCGCTTCCGGCTGCAGAGCACCAGCGCCAGAGCTCAATCGGCTGTCGCTTCGATTTATTCTCAATTAACTATATCTCTTCATTATTCAAAGCAGTTTAGACGATCTCGAGCAAATACCTTGAAATGGGACCCGTTGCCGACGTTGTGGGTTCAACGATGTGTGGGAAACACTGACTGGGCTGTATGACCTCTTGATGGTCCTAGCGCGAGGTCGAGGTCGTGGACTACTGCCAAGGGTCCATAGCTGTATTGAGTTCATTGCGTCCGCTGCTCGTACATGTATGGCTTCAGCGTACTTTCGCACGACGCCATCGCACCTGTGTTTCATTCCCGCATAGAACTCTATGTGCCATGCAGGCAGAAATGCTTTAAACAGATTGTTGAGCTGCCGAACGCAAATCTACCAGCCTTTGCCGACGATGGAACGACTTGGTTGATGTCCGCCGTTGCAGTGATGGGTGAGACGGGGTATTTGATGCTTGTCGAATCGAATGAAGTCGGGCGCGCCCTCCATCGTGCCGTTTTTATTCGGTTTGTTTTACGTCTTTCATGGCTTGGAAATGGCTTCCCAGCGATGGTTTATCAAGCTCGTCAGCTGGTAGGGTCGTGTTAAAACAAGTTTATGGAGCTACGTGTCTGACTAAATACACTCGTATAACAACTTCATTGCGATCTTCTTTGAAAGCGGCACATGGTTGGAGCGTGTAGTGGCTAGAGCTCATGACGAAGCTTTGCTTTGTCAAGACAGCGGCCACTTGGACGAAATAAAAGACTCGATCAATGGGGATACCAGGTAAACCAGATTCGTGTGCACTCGACCGGAACATCGTAGCGAATGTGCGGCTACGTGGGAGGTGGCTTTGCTATGCGATGACGGTTTGGACCTTCAGTCATTGTTCAAAATGCAGCATACTAGTATACGAGCGCCTGAGCGATGTCCACGGGCGCGAACACCTTTGCAGCAGAAGATGGTCGCGCGTCAACAGGTCCCACCATCACGGTCGGGTTGAAATTAATGCCCCGTGCGAACGGACCCAGTACGACGATGCAGGGTATGAAGTCGGCGTGGCTTGGAGGATATGGTTCTGTTAACTGGCGCTAGTACTCGACGGTAGCTCTCGACCGTCGCCTCCACTACTTCCTGCTATATAGTTAGCCTACGTTTCGTTTTGCCTGAGGCTTTGCCCTCTTCTCTCAATAGAGCCGAGGTGAGCACCCATTACACTTGCCGATACCAATGCAAAGGACGTGTTCTTGTTCAGCACGGAAGAGAACTCAGGTTGAAGTGCAGCAACCGTACATGCTATAGCCAGGCGCTTTGAGAGACGATAGCAACCAAGCACTTTATGGGCGTCTAAGATGAGAGAACCAGCACCGTAGATTCTACAGTGGTACGCCCGTGACTTCAACGTTATCACGTGGGTGACACGTGGGGACGGCCAAGTTACTCACTTAGCCTCAAAGGAAGACATCCCACAACAAATCACAAAAAATACGCACCTCGCCAAAGACGCCCGCCTCTCAACGCCACCGTGTGACAAAAGCAAAAGCGCCTGTAGGAAAGAATATCTCAATACTGTAGACTCATTCCAACATAAAAACTTGGGTGACACGTAACCACGCGTGTAACCATACTGTGCACTTTTCTGCACACGGTGGCCTGATCCTTGAAGTGCGTCAGAAGGCAAGAAGAGACGCCAACCACACATTCAGCTGACAGCAAAACCGTTTACATACCGGTACTTGTATACAAATACAAATTCACGAGTGACTGAATTGATGTGGTATTAGCACCAGACGAGATACCGTACGTGGTACCATTGCTGTAGCCGAACCTGTATGGCAGCCACTATTTGTTTATACTTCAAGAATATTTAAATAAATAAATGGCAGCGCAACGTCATTTTGCGATACCGACCAAGACGCACGTCACGCGTTTTGACGAAGGGCGAAGTCCCAAAAAATATCGTCCAGCCTGAGGGCAAGGAGACCAAGACTTTGAAAAGTCCATGGAAGGCTACTGATGCTTCCGTTTTATATCGGGAGCCCTTCACAAGAACGTTTCTTCTCCGATTGATGAAATAATACGTTGATATAATTGTAGTAATCCTAGCCACCATACAGTTGGCCAAGTTGAACTGTGGGTACATGCCGTTCCTGATTTGGTCGGCTCGACTGGACGACACGGCGACGGGCGTTCGAAGGCGACAAAGTCCCCTTCCACTTCAACAACCTTCGTAGTAACCTTATAACGCGAGGTGGCGGCAACGATCGGGTGCAATGGCCCGTCCACGAGCGTCCGAAATCAGATCTGTGTTTTTCAGTCGTTGTGTTCAAAGGCTTGCAATATTTCCCTTGAGCTCACTTTTCAATTTCCTGGTTGAGCAGCAACATGAACACGACCAAGGAGTTTGCGACGGCCCCCGATCGCCTCTCGTACGTGCACTCGATCGACAAGGCGGCTATTGCCGGCGAAGACTATGAAGCCAACAAGACGCCCGGTGACCTCGAAGACGGTGCGCTCCGCGCCGGTGGTGCCCCCGTGTACACGTCGGCCGAGTGTCTCTCCATTCTGTTTCAGTATGCGATGATCGGTATCGTCTACGGCGGTGTCGGCGCCATGCGCTACGCCGTCGTCAACGGCTACTTCCAGCTCGAGACGAACGTGGCCAACTCGGCCAAGGCGCTCTTGGGTCTTGGCTGGTCGCTCAAGGTCGTCTTTGGCATGTTCAACGACTGCTTCCCGATCTTTGGTTACTCGCGCAAGCCGTACATGGTGCTCGGCTGGTTCCTCTGCTCGATCGCGCTCCTCGTGATCGCCATCAAGGACCACGGTGAGGAAGGTTCGCAGTCGGACGGCACGGTCTTCATCCTCCTCGCGTCGATTGCTGGCTTTTGCTACGTCATGGCCGATGTCGCCCAGGATGCGCTCATGCTTGCCGTTGCGCAGCGCGAGCCCGACGCTGTCCGCGGTCGTCTGCAGTCGTACTCGTACGCGACGCGCACGGTGTTTGCGGCCGGCATCCAGGCCGTCTCTGGTTTCTGCCTCAGCTCGAAGCGCTTTGCCGGCGACTTTGACTGGGACATTGGTATCAACGGGTACTTTTGGATTCTGGCCATTCCGTCGTGCTTGAACGTGTTTGTGTGCTACTTCTTTGTCAAGGACGAGAAGCGCGTGCGTGTTCCACTTGGCATCTACTTTGACCAGTTCTGGACGCTCATTCAAAAGCGCGCGGTGTGGCAAGTGCTCCTCTTCAACTTCCTCTTTGGTCTCTTCACGGCCATCGGCTCGACGGCCGGTGACTACGTCGCGCTCTTCTGGGCCGAAGTCGACAACGTCAACGCGCAGATCATCGGTGTCGTCAGCCAGCTCCTCTTTGCCGGTGTGCTCACGCTCACAGGCACCTACGGCACGCACTGGAACTGGCGCTTCGTGCTCGTGATTACGATCCTTGTCACGTACGCGATCGACTCGGTCTGCCAGTTCCTCACCATCTTTGCCGTCATCCGCAACCAGTGGTTCTACCTCGGCGTGCCGCTCATCGAAGTCGTCCCGTCCGGCATCAACTTTGTCGTCGGCACGTACGTCATTGTCGAGCTCGCCGAAGTCGGCAACGAAGGCGTCATGTACGGTCTCCTCACCACGGTGGCCAACATGCCGGGCACATTTGGCACGCTCCTCACCAACATCATCGACAGCCAGCTCAACTACAGCGTGAAGCTCATCCAGAAGGACGCTCCGGAGACGCGGACGGCCGTCGCCTACTCGTACATCATTTCGTATGCGTGCGCGGTGCTCGGCTGCCTCTGGGTGTTCCTCCTCCCGCCGCAGCGCGCGGCCGTCGCCGAGCTCAAGAAGAACGGCGGCAGCCACCCCAAGGTGGCCGCGCTCATCTTCTTTGGCCTCTTCATGGTGCTCCTCACGTCCATCACGGGCAGCTTGATGTCCATGTTCAAGAGCACGAGCTGCTTCCGCATTGCCGGTGGCCGCGAGCCGTGCCCGGAAGACGCGCCGCAGACGTACATCGCCATCATCTTGGTGCCGGGTGCCATCGTCGCGTGCGCTACCTTGTACAAGCTCTACAAGAAGTAGAGTCGTGTCTAGTCTCTCCATTGTGTTTCGTTCTAACTAACGAGTTGTGTCGTGATTTGCTACAGTACATAATTTTTGTTTCTTTTTTCTTTTTCAAGGTGGAGCTTGTGCCAGGTAGGTGGAGCTGCAACTTGTATTTTCGACAGCACTCGAAAATTGTCCACGATGAAGTTGATTACGGTGTCACTTCCTACCAGCACTTCCCGCTCGGGTCTTTCGCTTGGTCCATGTCATCCATAGCGTCGCACAATGGGTTTAAAAGTGAAAGCAATGAGATTGGGCTGCATAGGATGCTGGCGAGAGCTCTATTGGAGGCATATGCCGTAAATAAGATCGTAGTGCCATCTTGTTGGCGCTCGTACGACACCGCTTGGTCGACGCATCACGATGGAGATGGAATTGTTCATCGTCGGTACAGCGATAACAGGCACTTTGAATAGCAGACTACGTTGTGTTATCGCTGCAGTCGTACAACGTGCGCAGCGCTTGATTGTAACCAGGTGAGCCATCCGGCTGCCACGTCACCAGGTCGAAAGAATATACTCCCTTCACCAAAACCCTCAAAACCGGGGCTTGGATGGCCTATAGCGCTTTCTCAACCCTTTGGGGCCGCATACGCCCACCTGCTTCCTGGCCAATCAAAACGCCCCTGAAACCCGTAGACAATGTGGACTTAGGCGATTCGTCCGGAGCCAATACACCGATTTTGCGATTCCATCCAAGTTTCTTTCATGTACCGTACCACAAGATTCTAGCTTGGAATTTCGTGATCGAGAGCAATTACAGCCTCATATTGCTGCTGGGTTGCTTGCAAGCCGGCAAAACAACAACGAATTTGGGGATATACACGACACTTTCGTTAGACTCGACTAGTTTAACGACACAACATGGGCTATTCGACCCGATTACTTCTTGGCGAGGAAGAGCTTGTACACGGCAAAGAGCGCGACGATCGCACCCGGCACAAAGATGATGGCGAGGTACGTCTGCGGCGTCCCTTCCGGGCACGGCTCCTTGCCGCCCGCGAGAGTGAAGCAGCTCGTGCTCTCGAACATGGACATCAAGCTGCCCGTGATGGACGTGACGAGGATGACAAAGAGACTGACAAGGATGAACGCGGCCACCTTGGGGTGACTGCCGCCATTCTTCTTGAGCTCGGCGACGGCCGCGCGCTGCGGCGGAAGGAGGAACACCCAGAGGCAGCCGATCACCATGCACGAGTACATGATGACGTACGAATAGGCGACGGCGGTCCGCGTCTCCGGAGCGTCTGCCTTGATGAGCTTCTTGTTGTAGTTGAGATGGCTGTCGATGACGTTGGTGATGATCGTGCCAAAGGGACCCGGGAGGTTCGAGATCGTGGTGAGGAGACCGTACATGACGCCTTCGTTACCGACTTCGGCGAGCTCGACAATGACGTACGTGGTGATGATAAAGTTGATACCAGACGGGATCGTCTCCATGACCGGCACGCCGAGGTAGAACCACTGGTTGCGAACCACGGCAAAGATGGTGAGGAACTGGACAATGGAGTCAATGGCAACCGTAGTGATGATCGTGATCACAACCACGTAGCGCCAGTTCCAGTGCGTGCCGTAGGTGCCCGTCGCCGTGATGACGGCCGCATAGAGGAGCTGGGTCACGACACTGACAATCTGCTGGTTGAGGTTCTCGACTTTGGCCAAGTACAAGCCGATGTAGTCGCTGGCCGTCGAGCTGATCGCTTGGAACAAACCAAAGAGAAAGTTGAAGAGAATGACCTGCCACACGGCGCGCTTCTGAGCGAGTTCCCAGAAATTGCCAAAGTACGAGCCAATGTCGACGCGGGTGTGCTTCTCGTCCTTGACAAAGAACCAAATCACCACGACGTTCAAGCACGACGGGATGGCCAGAATCCAAAAGTACCCGTTGATACCAATGTCCCAGTCAAAGTCGCCGGCAAAGCGCTCCGAGTTGAGGCAGATGCCCGACACAAACTGGATGAGACCCCAGAAGATCTGGCGCGTAGCGTACGAGAGCGACTGCAGCCGACCGCGGACGGCTTTTGGTTCGCGCTGGGCGACCGCAAGCATGAGCGCGTCCTGGGCGACGTCGGCCATGACGTAGCAAAAGCAAGCAATGGTCGCGAGGAGGATAAAGACTGGGCCGTCGGTCTGCGAGCCCTGCTCGCCATTGTCGCGGATTGCAATGAAGAGGAGGACGACGCCGCAGAGAAACCACCCGAGGAGCATGTACGGCTTGCGGTGGTAGCCAAAGATCGGGAAGCAGTCGTTGAGGACACCAAAGACGACCTTGAGCGACCAGCCGAGCGTCAAAAGCGCCTTGGCCGAGTTGGCCACGTTCGTCTCGAGTGCAAAGTAGCCATTCACGATGGCGTAGCGCATGCCAGCGACGCCGCCGTAGACGATACCGATCATCGCATACTGGAAGAGGATCGAGAGACACTCGGCCGACGTGTACACCGGGGCACCACCGGCGCGGAGCGCACCGTCTTCGAGGTCGCCGGGCGTCTTGGTGGCTTCGTAGCCGTCAGCGTCGTCCGCGGCCACCTTGTCGATCGAGTGCAAGTACGAGACGCGCTCGGCAGAAATAAAGTCCTTGGCAGTGCTCATGTTGCTGCTGCTCACCCCAAGGTAAATGGAAAAGTGAGTGTTGAGTCCATACCAGCTTGCTCCATTGTCGATGCTGCTGGACTGGTATTTCCTTCTAATGCCAGCGTCGTCTGATTCAGACGCCACGATCACGACCGCTGCAGGCGGCGACAGGACGCTCGTTTTCTGCACAGTGGACCTGTGTGTGGTCCCGTCCAACGCCGAGTTGCACGACAGTGCAACACTACTCGTTGGCCCTTGACAAAAGAGAAATACAGCAAGCGTGGTTCAGCTCGCTCTTCCTCCGTAGTAACAACAATGCATCAGTGCAAGGTTGACGCGCCATTCACAAATCCTAGCCATGACATTGGAGCCGACCGACTTTGACGCAACGCCTTCGAGCGGCAATGTTATTACCATATACTATGGGACGATACTCTTGTCGATGAAAACCTGATTTTTAAAATTTAGAGCAACCCAACTTCGCG